TATCCACTCTCAGGATGGGTGCTTGCCTGTGTGAGAATCCCAAACCAAACAGGTCCCAGTTTCCACACAGCACCTTTGGCTGGGGTGCTTCCCCTTATATTCCACTGTACGGCGCACCCACAACTTCTCACACAAACCCTCTTCCTGGTCTGCGATGGAGGAACAGACTTCAGCTTGCTCTGGTGCAACCAGAAGCTTTGGATAAGTTGGAAAGTTGGAGGGAGATCAAGACTGCATTCTTCAGAGTCAGAAGTGGCCTGAACTTGGTATGTCCACTGACCCTTGAGGTCTTGGAGAAGAGCTTCCAGAAGGTAGAGACTCTTCCCTTTCTTGTCCCAGGCAGGCAACAGGCTTGACATTTCCTGGCCAGGCCACCTGAAATGATGAGTGGGTTCTGCTCGGAAGTGCCACTGGCTGTTTCCCCCTTGACAGCCACTTCCTGGCTGGCCGGCCAGGGGACGTCATTTGCCTGTCCGCCCAACATCTTGGCAACTCAACCAGCAGCTGTTGATGAGCTGGCAGCTGTGGAGGACCCACAGCTGTGACACCTTCTCTCTGCCGGGACTCTAGGTCGCCACCTGTCCTCCCTGGCAACTTCTGGAGGGGAGCTGGCTTCCTCCCTTTTTGGACCTGCTCGCTTTTACTGCCCCCCACCCCCAATTTGAACTTGCAGGTGGGAGTTTGCTGTGCGTCATCACCTCCAAGCCCAGCTCACTTCTGGACCTGGGGCCAGGTTGAGGAAAAAGCGCATGTGTGACCCTTGCTGGGGAGGACTCAGACTCCTGCCCCCCCTTTATACAGTACAGGCATGAATAGGGCAGGCAGATGTTCGTTGCTAAGCCCTCACATCTGGATTCTGGCCCCTCAGCAAGAGAGTGAGAGGAGGTACAGTAGGCTGCCGTTTTGCCTGGTTGGCCTCTGCCCCACTTCCTGCCCGCCCCCTCCCCCAGGCCTGGATGGGACAAGGAGTCTGGGGCGCCAGACCTCCCTTGCAGCTGCTGCTGCCGCCATGCCCCGCTCTGCCCCGGCTGCCTGAGAAGCAGGCCTGCCCTTCCCAAGCGTCGCGGCTCTCCTCACTGCAGAGGGGGAGATTTTTATAACAATTGAGGTATTTTTTAGCATAATATATTTTAAGGTAATACGGAGATAATATTGAACTCTTCTCACCCAGCCTGGTGGCCCCGGGTGGCCCACGCACCTTTCCAGCATGAACGAAGCTGCTGTACCCCTCCTCCTCCAGCAGCGGTGCCCTGAGATGTCCGGGGCACTTGCTCAGGAGGGCTTTGCTGGGCGGAGGAAGGCAGAACAGGGCACTGATCCCCCCAGGTGTGTTTGTTCCCTCCCTCCCTCTCCCGCCTGGCCCCACGCCCTCTGACCTGAGCCCGTTCTCATCCCCTCCGAAACTCTTCTAGGAGAAGACGCTCCCTGTGTATTTATCCTCTTTTCTTGCTGGCAAGAAATAGGTGGGAATTGGCTGAGCTCTCTGAGTTCTGTGTAAAGTGCACTGATTGGATCAAGGGCAAAGCCAGGCTACACCAATAAAATAAACATTCTGAAGCGACGTGTGGTTTTTTTCCAAGGGAAAGCCACCAATTGCTGTGCTGGTGCAGCTGACTTTCTGATGCGGGGTGTGCAGGCCCTTTGCTCTGCAGGCCAGCCAAAATGCCCCAGTTGTGGGACCCCAGACCGTCTTTCACCTCCCTAGCCTTCATTTGACCAGCAAGAGCCGGGGTTGCCTCGGGGGCACCTGTCTTTCACACTCGCAATGCCAGGTGAGCTTTTTTGAGGGAGGAAGTGCTGAGATATCTTGCATCCAAAGCCAGAAAGGGCTTGTCAGACTAAAAATTGTCTTACGGGAGAAGCTGCGGACTAGAGGCCTTCTTAAGCTTCAGACCCAGAAGACGAGCAGAAACAGACTCTGCTGTGCAATGATGTGAGGCGCATCTCTGTCTAGATACATTTCATTCGGCAGCTGAGCAAAGTTGCTTTGGACTCACTGTAGCTTCTGCTGTATTTAAACCATTCGTGCTGATATACACTGTCCTTTGGACCTCAAGATGGAAGGAAAAACTAACAAATGGAGATCAAAACAATGGAAGTATGTGGTTAACCTGTTTTCTACCTGCCAACCTTTTGACTAAAGTGCCCCATGGGATTCCCATTTGGTGGGAGGCTTCTGTCGTGGGGCGGGGGCTCTCTGAGGCTGGTTGGGATCATCTGAGGCAAGGCCTGTTGTTCAACAGTAAAGCTAAAAACTGGGGAATATCTGTCCTCCCTTGGCCATCAGCTGGTCCTGCCTTCAAGCTTCCTTGGCTCTGGAGAGATCTGCCACATCCAGCTGATGTGGAATCCTGGGGTCGATATGGACCCTGGTGTCGGACGCGCTGCAGGGGCTCTTGCAGGAACCCAGAGGACAGTGAAGCACCTCTGGCCAGCCTGGCTGCTGCTTGCAGCGTCAGGAGCTCCTGGGAAACCCACCAGCTGGGAAAAATCCACTCACTCTCTCTGGTTCTTGCCCAACACTGTATTTAGACTGTGACTGCTTGTTACCATGAAGGCCCCTTTAGCCCCCAAGAGACCTTTATCCCATGCATTAATTCATTTTGTTAGGATTCGTAGCGTGCTTGTCTGTTAAAAGAATTCAAAGCATCTTAAAGGAAGTGATACGAACCCAGTAATTTTTCTTTTCATTTTATTTCACTTAACATTAAAATAATTAACATTTATTTCATTTAAAACATTAAATCACAGCAAATAAAAGTTAAATTAGTCAAACCACTCGAAACATTTTATTCCTCCTGGCTAGCGAATAGAGAGAAAAGCAGATTTGTCCTCTGCCTGCAGAAAGCGGGGCCCCGCTGCCTGTGTGAGACCAGCGGGTGGCATTGGGAGCCAGCAGCTGCTGAGATGCCCTTCTCCCCCACAGAGGCTTTAAAGGCCAGTATTGCACTCAGGAGTGGTCCTACCTAGGGTGACTTGAGTCCCCACCATGTCAAGAAGGACATCGAAAAAGGGAAAGTTGCTATCGAGGGGGGTGCAGAAAAAGGTCTTCCTTACATTTGAGACAATTCCTTGCATTATCTTGACTTTCAGAAGATCAAGTTATTCATTTAAATCTTTTGTTCATCCCAGGTCTGTTAAAAAAATCCCAAAGTGGTTTACAATAGAACATCTATGTTTTGAGGAAGGACATTCACATCTTACAGTGTAAAATTCATAGAGACATA